TCATTAGCAATACAATATTGAAAACTATACTTATCTTATTATTCTCTTTCCTTATTTCTTGCAAACTCTATCCAAGCTATAGTCTTAACTCTAACTATATCACTAATTACTGCATACTAGAAATGTTCTCTATCCTTTTTACCCAATTTCTGAAAAGAAAATCCAACAATCAACTTAAGCTTAATGCTAATTATATTAATCTTATTCTATCTAATTCTAATAAAAACCCATTTTATATCCCTGCTTTATCTTCTATTATTATTTCTGACTCTTTTATACTTATACTCTTCATAACAATAATATTTTTGATAATCTTACTTAAATTGTTCTAAATAATAATTCTTATTAACACTTTACTTTTTATATAGATAGCTTTGTTAAAAACTTTGGTACTAACCAATGCACTATAGGCATCAGCTAGGCCCAAATTCATAATAATACTATAATCTATAATTTTTTTGCTCAAATCATCAACTAGCCCTCATCTTATAAAGCTAAACTATTTGCTATCCTATCTGCTATCTCAACTCTTCTTTACAACTTTCTTGTTGATATTTATACAAATTTCCAATCTGTAATCTCTAAATACAACAAACTTATTTTAAATCATTACTTTTCTTCTAAATCTCTCAAGTTCAACTTCTGGCCTATCTGGCACATATTTTTTCAATTACTCAAAGCTTATAATATTAATTTAATATTTTATAAAGTCCAAGCTCACACTAACAATACTTTCAACAATCTAGAAGATTTTCTTGTCAACAATCACTTCCTATTCTCTATATTAATACTTAACTATTCCAATGTACACAATCTCTACTTTTTTTCTTAAATGGAAAAATTGCTCTATTAATAGCTCTGCTAGATATTTTATTAAAAGATTTGTAAAACTAAAACCATTATCATGTATTTCTTCCAAAATTGTAATCAAGAATAGTTACACTTTATTCACTATATCGATTGAAACTCTATTTGGCTTTATTTTAACAACAACCAAAAAAGCTTATCTAACTTTATTAACCCTAAACTCAACTATTTTAAATCTTTTAAAATTAAAATCCTGCCTAACAACCTATTTATACACTTCTACTATTATTTTATATTTTCTAATCTATTCTTATTCTTTAACTTCTTTTAATGCAATCTTTTTGACTTTCTATCTTACTAGTATATTTGCCCTAGCTACAATTTACTAACTCAAATTATTAACTTCTATATTGACAAAACTGTTTCCAAATTTAATCTCAATCTTTCTCTACTTGAACTTAACTATTTGAAACATACTATCTCCTCTCACCCATTCTTTTTACTTTTAGCCTTTTCTACTTTATTTATATTCTCTCTATTCTACTTTTAAAGGTTAAATCTCTATTCTACTTATCCAATCTGTACAAACCTTTGATATACTATACTTTCTTGCTTCACAGCTTATTATTCAAACCCTCTTCAAAATCTCTAACCAACTCTATAATTAAATATAGAAAACATATTGCATTAACTTTTCTATATAGAAAAAAATACACCAAATCCCTTCTAACCTCTCTTATAATTAACCTTCTTATCTATGCTATTCTCATGCTCATAATAGAACTAGAAACACATTTACTTATAATTGCTCTTGTAATACTTCAGATCAACTTTACTCTGATTCAAATACTTGTTTTCCTTATGAGCTTGCTAATTGTAAATTTGATATCTGGTCTACTATGTGGACCAAATACAATATCTCTATTAACTATATTTTAACTATTCAAATATAGATGAGCTTTGACTACTCTAGTAGGTTTAGATCATAGATAATTAGTTTGACATATAGTTTAAACTTCTAGTCTGAGCTTTTATTCTTGTATATAATTTATATTTATTTGTTATTATACAAATTAAGTTTTTCATAAATTTTTTATAATTACTTATATAAATTACTTAATAAAGATATAAGCAAGGCCTCATCTTAAAAAAAAAAAAAAAAAAAAAAAAGCCAAACAAATATTTCTTATACTATATTATATTAAGAATTTAAAAGTAAAAAAATATGAGTTTAAAAAATAATAATATTAAAAGCTAAAGATTATAAAGAAATGAAGAGAAGCATTATAAGAGAAATTGTATACTAGGTTTTAGACTCTAATTAGATGAATAACTTAAAAAATTTTTTATTTATAAAAAAATAAAAAAAATAAAATATGTAAGAGCAAGAATTATATATCAAACTTAAAGGTATCTTATCAGACAAATAATTTAAAAAACTTTTGATTTATAAAAGAACAAAAAGATATAGTATATAAAAGTGAATTTTATATATCAAACTAAGAGACCTTTTATTAGATAAATGATTTTAAAAACTTTTAATTTATTGAAAAATGAAAACAATATAATATGTGAAGTAAGAATTGCTTACCAGATTTAGAGACCCTTTATAAAACAAATAATCTAAAAAATTTTTGATTTATAAAAAAAAAAAAAGATATAGTATATAATAGTGGTTATACTCTAAGATATGATAACTAGTTAACTGATAGGTTACCTGATATCTGGATTGTAAAATTGATTAACAGGTTAATAATTAAAATATCTAGTTAACTTATCTAGTTAATCTAAAATATATATAGTAATTGTAATAGTAATAACTAGTTGAGTTGCTTTTATACAAATAAAAATAAAATTTATCCTAATTCTAACCTGATCTACATATCTGATTTTGCTAATTCCTAACTCAAGTTTCACTCTATTTTATAATAATATTTGTCTATATTATTGTATCTACATATATATGAAAGGTCAAAATTATATTTTACGAAAAGAAGCCCATATAGTTAAGAATCGCAATAAAGGACATCATACAAGTGATTGCAAGTTTCGTGTAAATACATACCACAGAAAAATAGATAATGAAATCCACATTACAAAAATTGTTAATCAACATAATTATAAACTTGTAAGAAATATTGATATGGTCGCTTCTCACTATTGTAAACTTTCTCCAGAAATGTATAATGAAGTAAGGCTTCTTGTGGCTTCTGAAGTTCATGCTAGTGCTATTATTGAAGTCTTGCAGTGCAAAAACCCAAACAAGCATATTTACCCTCATAATGTTTATAATATAGTTCAAGCAATTAGGTATGAGAATAGAGTTGTTAGTGATGCCAGTTCAATGTATCTTGAGTTAATGAAACAAAAGCAGGAAAATCCAACCTTCTATGTAGATGCACATTTTGAAGGCAAAAACAATCATCTTGTAGCTCTCTGTTAGATGAAACCAAGTCAACAGCAATTGTGAGCTCATTTCCAGGATATAATATTGCTTGACACAATAGCAAAAACTAATAGATATTCAATGATTCTCTGTGTCATCATTTTAATTGACAACAATAACAGGTCTAAACTTGGTGCTACTGCTTTAGTTTCTAATAATACATTTATTTGGTTATTCGAAAGTCTTAAAAAAGCAACAGATAGATTGGTACCATTACTACTTCACACAAATACAGACCTTGCAATGATTGCAGTGGCAAAAAACTCATAGCCAACAACCAAACACCATTTTTGCTTGTTTCATATTTATAAAAATTTAGAAAAGTATTTTATTAGTAAATTTTGTAACAAAAAGTGGACCAAATTTTTTACCTCATTCTGCCTTGTATGTAATAGCCATGTTGAAACAATTTTTGAAACAGGGTGGGCCTTACTAGTACAGGAATACCCAGAAGCTGCTGAATATTTGCAATGTCATCTATATCCACATAGAGAGTCCTGGGAATTGTGTTTCACACATCGTGTTTTTAATACTGGAGTACAAAGTACGCAACATGTTGAAGCATACAATGGTATAATTAAAAGTAATGTAAATAACACATCTTTACTTTTAGAGCTCGATTATACCATTGAGAAACTTCTAATAAAAGAGAGCCATTTTGTAAATTTAAATGATGCTATGAGCAGATTTTCAGTAAGTCAGGAAAAAGGCTATTATAACGATATTTTAAAAAAGTTAATAAAGTATATCAATGTTTTTTGACACTAGCAATTTTAAAACTTCAACATAATAAAATGAATTGTAGTGTATATTATCGGTGTTGCATATTTACCTGGAATAAAGAAACTAAACAACAGGTTACTATTAACTATCTAATTATTATGTGATTTAATATAAGAACTACTTATCTTTTTTTTTTTTTTTTATAGATGACTTATGATGAAACACCAAATGGTATATTCTCTGAAAGTATGTTTAATTTGAGAATTGTTGTGCTTGAGGATTTAATTATAAATATTGGAATAAATAGAATTTACGAAATTTGGTACATTTATTCTATCAATAAAAAATCAGAAAACTTTGTCATTTTATATAATAATTCTGCTCACCTTTGCACATGTTTAACATTGATTAACTACGATCTTGTGTGCCTTTATTTTTTCTCTATCATGCTTGTCTTAGCAAATGCCAAATTTTATATTGGTCTTGTGTCTAAATGTTGGTATACTGATATTATAGCAAATTCAATATCTACAAATGAGCCTACTATTGCAACAATTTTAAATAGAGACTTTGGCATATTAGAGTTTAATGAACAAATAGAATTTTCTTATCTAGAAGATATTTGTAGACAAATATTTTCATAGAAGAAGTTTGTCATGAATTTACATTAAAGTAGCAATGGAAAAAAGGATTTGGTATAATGAAAAAAGTGTTAGACTTAGCTATTTTAACTGGAAAAGCAGAGAAACTTTATGAAATCTATACTAAACATATTAATGAGATAGAAGATGAAATAGCAAAAAATAAGAGATGAATTATAGATAATGATTCTACTAAATTTGTCAATACCATCAATAATCTAATTAGTATAAAGACAAAAAGACAAAAATCTAAAAGAGAAAAAGCATTTAATGATCTAACAAATATAAGAGATAAGGGAAAAAAAAGAAGGTTCGAGGATGAACATGAAAACTATATAAATTTATTAGTTCCAAGATCCGAATCAAGTAAAACAATCAGGAAGATGAGATCAGGTATTCAAAAATTTTTTTTATGTAATCGTTGTACATACATATTTTTCTTTTTTTTTTTATGCATAAAAAAGTCGAAACAGTCAAGAATGTGAAAATAAATCAAGGCATTGTAAAATTTGCTACCAAAAAGGTCATAACGCACGAACTTGCTTGGAGGATAAAGAGAATTTATCATCTGAAGAGATAAATGCAGATATATGCCAATTCTGTAGTATGATTCTGTATTAATGTAGATATTTATTGTACTATTTCTACATAAAAAAGTTGAATCTAATCGAAACCATGAAGATAAATCAAAGCAATGTGAGATTTGCTACAAAAAAGGTCATAACACATGAACCTGTTCAGAAAACTATGAAAACTCTAAATCTAGCAAGAAAACAAGATCTGGTAATACATTTTAATTCTATTAAATTGATGTATACGCATGTATTTAATTTCTTTTTTTTTTGCATGGCTAGAATTTAGCAATAAACATGAAGATAAATCAAGACTATATGGAACTTGTCATCAAAAGGGTCATAATGCACGAACTTGTTCTAATCAAAAATAGATTTTTAGTAATATTGTTTGTGCTACATACTCTTTGCATCAATTACTTTATGTTATATTTACAGTAATACAAAAAATTTAATGCTATGTATTATGTATATGTATTATATCAAATTATATAATAAATATAAGGATGTAGCAGCTTAGTGAAGTGGTCTAGTTGTCACCCCTCCAAGTGATAGGTTTAGAGTTCAAATCCCATAGATGACGATTTTGAAAATTAAGCCTGTGTTCGGTAACGATTATCTATTGATCAGTTGGATCTACAATCTGTAATCTTGGTTGCACCATCTCGTTATAGGAGCTTTGGCATATAAATACCAAGAAACTGGGATGATCGAAACCCGTTTGGGAAGACCCGAGTAAGAAGTAGTGGAAACTTTTGACAGTGTCACAGAAAGACTGAATTCGGAACTGAAAACTGAGACCTGAAAACCAAGTGGCCAGGTCCTTAAGTAGGGGGACACACCAGCTGAACCGCCAGATCACCAACCAGAGGAAAAGGACATATGCTCTGGAAACATGTACTAAGGGAAGGGAGACCATAAGGCATCTAAAGCCTGGGCAGACCAACCCTTCTGGGTTGCTGGCTGGAAAAAAGGGAGAGACCGGTAAAGAATCTGGAAAAGAAAGAAAGTTCGAATGTAGGTACTGGGGTAGAAATGAACCTTACAAGGGTAGGGATTATATGTGGCTTGGGTAACTGAGGCTCGCTAGTACACAGGTAAAGCTGTAGCGCAGTATCTCTGAACTAAATCCAGAAATGTGTAGAACGTAGAAGGATTTAGAGGGCATCTACTGTGCCCTTCCTCGGGTAAATATCGGTTGATTAGTTTCAAAAGGTTTATCTATAAAAAAGGTAAAGTCAGTAGGTGAATGCCAGCCTGGGTGGCCTTTGTGCAGCACGAGGTGAGACAGTTTGAACCAAACAGAGCAGTGCAGGACTGGGAATATCAGAGAGTTTAAATGGGTAACCCCCTAGTTGGGTTATAGATACAACATCTAGTATAGAACCTTCAGGTAGACTACTTAAATAGATACCCAAAAGGTGCATGTGTGACTTGATATACTCTTATAGATCTAGAAATGTACTGCAGCATGTAACAATATAAAATATAATAACATTTAACATTACTTCTAATAAAGTTCGCCTGTCATAGCAATTCGGCAAAATAAAAAAAAAAAAATATATATATATAATAAATATATTATGTAATTAATAAAGTCATGTGATTAACTTATTGGTATTTAGCACTAGTAGTATAATTTAACAATGCTAATTTTTTATATTATTTTTATAAGATTTGATATTTCTTATTTTAATTATATTAATTTAATTTGTACTAATTCAAATTACTTTAAATTATTTTGTATTTTAATTATTACAGCTAATTGCCTAGCATCATTCCAAACATAGTTAATATTCTGCAAAAATCAGAGAATTACTTTTTGCTGTTTTTAAGAAGTCCATGTTGGATAAAATCGATACTAAGGTGACTTCGCAGGCTATTTTAGAATGAAAAACTTAGCTAAAACTAAGCATGCATACAAGTTACTTCATAGAAAAATTAATCCTGATACATCTAATAAGACCTACTTTATCTGAATTGTTGCTCGTTCTTGGCCTGCGAAGTTGCCTACTAATATAGAATTTGTGTTCACCTTGACTATATATCAAATTGTTCTTAGTAACTATTATGAAAAGCTTATTATGAATAATGAGATCTTACGTAATAGAATAAATAAAAATATAGTAAGTAATATATAATTAATTTATATTTTGTTATTTAAATATATTTAAATTAATTCTAATATTATTAATATTAATAAATAGGAAAAGATAAAAAATGGTACTGCTTATTATCTTCTAGCTACTAATAATGAAGAGTCACTTATAGAAGATGAACAAGTTGAAGCAACATCATTTTCAAGTGCACATGGTCAAAAAAAAAGAAAGGTTGCTACTATCTCTCACACTGACAAGAGTAAAAAATGAGCCAAAACTTCACCAATTCTCATTACATCAACCCCGACTCACCTATATCATATTATTTTGATTCACAATTATCTAAACATTCTCAAAATATTTCATATGAATCCAAATCTACACAAACAGATCTGCAACCATCCACATCAGCTCCTATTAACCCACCACCATCATCTCCTACTGAAAACACTGGTCGTCAAGAATAATATATTTTTATTTATTTGAATTTTAAATTTTTTTTTATATATTGCTTTTTTTTTATATATTTTTTAATTTTTTTATTGATTTTTTTTTTTTTTATTTTATTTTTTTATTTTATTTTTTTATTTTATTTATATTTTATTTTATATATATTTGCTTTTTTTTAATATATTTTAATTTTTTTTATTTATGTTTTTTATATATATATTTTTTATTTTTTATCATAATTCTATTTTTTTATTTTATTTTTTATTTTTAATATATATATTTATTTAATATAATTTTATTTTGCTTTATTAAAAGTGTTTTGATCAAATTTTATTTAATTTCAAATATCTTAAAATAATTCAAATTATTTCACATAAGTGCAGAATTATTTGTATTAAGTGGTCAATATGTAATTAATTTAATGCATAAAATTTTATATTTTAAGTTAATTTCCAATATATTGCAAATTATATAAAAATTCATTAAGTAAAATTTATTTAATTATGTTTTAATTAGTTCAATTAAATTTTATTTGATATTATATGTTTATGCAAATCCTAATTATCTTAAATTATTTCAAATCATTTTGAATTATTTTAAATTATTGAATTATATATACTTGCTATTTATTTGTTTATTAATCTACAATTTAACTTTATTTTTAATATAATTTTAAGTTTTGCAATCTATTTCAAAACTATCTAAACTATTTTAACTGATTTAGTTTTTTAAAAGATATATTTATTTATTAAATAATCATTAGTTTTATCAAAGTGTAGAATTATATAAACCTGATTTTTTTTTTTTTTGTAATTTTGAACTATGTATCTTTGAATTGCAGGAATAGGACACTTGTCAGCAGCCTGTTGAACAACTTCCTCACACCTGATTTTTGTTTGTTTATGCATAGCCCTAATCATTTCGTTTCTGGTTTTTACTTCATACACCTTACTCATCCAGGTTCGCATAACATGGACGGTACAAAAAATAGTGCTACACTCCTGCTCACCCGCCCGAAGGCCCGGAAAAGCCAA